GGTGGTGTCAGAGTCCACGATCCGTCGCGGGAATCACAAAAATCGCAAGTGCCTCATTTGAACGTTTGAAACACCGAATATGAAACAAGTAGAATGATAAACAGTCGTCACCATCATCAAGCAGAAATGCAGTGGGATTGAAAAACACCTCTCAGTGTCGATCAATGCACTTGTGATTTCTGTAGTCTGACGCGCGACGGATCGCAGACTCCGACACCAGCCTAATGTAAGCTAATGGACGAGGTACGTACCACACACCACATGACTTCAGTGAAAGTGTGGCACGCCATACGAAATTCTGGGGAGTAAATAAAAATGTAAATGACGTTAAACAAAATTAATATGAATGGATTGAAACTTTGGTACCGCCTATAAATGTTGTAAAAAGGAATCAGTAACAAATACAAAGAATAAAAGCACAAAGTTAAATAATAAAAACGTAGAAATTAAAACAAAACTCACAGATTGCCATAAGCAACACCCATGTGTGTGGTGGTCGACATGTTTGAGTCCATTTTCTGCGCTTGGCTGATTGGCAACTGATACGCGGCGATGTTGTGCTGAGGTTGTTGCTGAGACTGTGGCTGCGGTTGCTGCTGCTGCGGTGAAACCTTTTCTGACTGCCCTAGTGAAGCGGATGGTGGACGAGCCACCGACACCGACAACGGCATGCCAGATGTGATCTCAAATGCGCGCAGCTGACCTGAAATGAAATAAATATGTAAAATCTTTAACGGAACCAGTTCGATGCAATCGCGGTACGGTTTGGGAGGAGAGCCTCTGGGGGAATAGTTCGTTCCAACTGCTATGATTCCAATTGGAAAAAAGCTGAAAGATTTGGGGTGCATGAACATTCTCATTCGCTTTTACACTCATCCAGACAGAAGCTCCTCACTACCAAAACCAAGATTACTGGGGGCGAGATGAATTCTTGCACTAGATGCCACCCTTGCGTATTCCGATAACGCAACAATTATACTTCAGTATTCGTCGCAATGCACAACTGGAAAGATAATGCCTGCATAACTAACAATATTGGAAAAACCATTGAATACAATTTCCTTGAGCACAGGAAAAACCACTATGTAGTAGTCAGGCTTAAGGGAAGTCCGCGATCGAACTGATGTCTTATTGCGCTTGGAAGCATAAGTGGAGATAGAAAAGGTAACGCCAGCCAACGAATAAAGGGAAGAAACCGTCAACAAGGCCGAAAACAAAACTTAAAGGCTGAAAATGACACTATCTCCCAGTAGCGCAAATCGAAATAACACTGATTTGTTAGAGGATGGTGTTGTGCGGTGCCAATGCTGCTTCCTAGGACCTTAGCAACTTTTCAGCCTTGACAAATCATACCGGAAAGCTTAATTCGACCAGAAATCCCAGAGCCTGCCGTTAAGTCAGGCCTATTCTTGAGCAGCCTGTGAGGCCACGACATTCGGAGTACGGGCAACACATCATCTACACCTCATTTGTGATTTACCAAATACAAGCATTTTCCCGGATGGCAGCATAATATGTATTATAGTTGACAGTCAGGTTTATTTTCTAAAAAATCACAACGTACTCTGAAGATGGGCATTGTTGGCCTTTGCGTCACCAAGGGCACGAAATAACTCCTGTTTCAGCTTGTTCTCTGCTGCTAGCGACTCCTCCAGGTGAACCATCTTCTCGCGCATGATTCGCAAATCCATGTTCAACGCCTAAAAAATGAGAAACTGAAGACCCTCCTCGTGGAATTTTCGAAAGATTTTCTACAAGGCTCAAAAATTATTCAATGTTTTTGTAAAACCTACTGAAAATGTAACAGAAAGTTTGAAAATGTAACAGAAAGATAATAACGCAACCTAATAAAGGGACTCGGTTCAGAGTCTCCCCTATGTCTTGATTTGTTTCGAGATAAGCAGCAAGATATTATGTTCTATTATTCCAAAATATTCCTTTTTTACTTCAAGTGTGCCGAACTGGTTTAATTAATTGACATGTTGCATTCAATAATCGTTTTGATGTCAATGTGGTCCATTATAGTGCACCACAAGAAATAATCAAATGTACAAATATTAACCAGAAGAGATAATCCTCCCACGACACAATAGCTTTCTTTCGTCCTTTTCGACAACACTCATTACCGCCCTACCACATCCCACACTCTTTTAGTCACGAGATCCGTGTTGCAATATACGTCATATTACGCACCTTATACAACTTCTCTAGCTCAATTTATTAAGCACATCATTCATAATCTTCTCCGACTGTCAATTTTGTAAAGATACGAGAAATTGCTCTGGTGGGCGACTCACCAGCATTGACTAACTGGAAAACAATTGAAATGCACCACTAAACCTAACGCACCTCAACATCATTATTTTCTTTGTATTTGCGGAGCGCGTGTAGTTCCTTTTCAATGTCAGTCACTCTTTCCTCTCGTGCTAGCGCTTCACTACGAAGTCGATCCACTTCATGCTCCAGCTGTCGTTCTTTTTCACGTTGTTGTTCAACCGAATCCAAACTAAACATGAAAAGATCGCCGCAGTTACAACGTAAGCACGAATTACTGGACGACCGACATTTGATATGCGAGCCAACGGAATTGTAAAGAAATGTCTGTGAAACTTGAGCATGAAAGAAAGCAAAGCAACTATGTAGTCAAAAAGCAAACCGTCTTCCGCCGTCCTCCTTGCGCGCCTTGCGCTCGTCCATTAGCTCACGCTCAACATCATTCTTTCTGTTCATCAACTCCGCATACTTCTTTTCCAACTGTGAAAGAGAGTTGCGATCGACGTCTCTCAACTTTTCCATGGTGGCATACCTCAAAATTATCTCTTGGATTTGAAATGATTTGATTTGAAAAAATACCTATCAGCTTTTCTCACATCTTTCGAAAAACCACTTACTTGTTAGATTAATAAGTATTCCTTGAACGTAAAATCACTAACTACCGGAAAAGTCTTTCGGGACAAGAAACACTTTTTCCAAACGGTTTTCTGTATATTATGGAGACACACAATAGCATAAAACTGAGAATAATTTTTTCTGAGCGGCTCTCTGGGAATGCTGAAAAAAAGGGGAAACCAGAGCTTGTGGTTCGATCTCCATTGAAGACGAACTTCTGCATTTCTCTGATTTCCACTTTCTTGGGTGCTTCCAAAACGCAGCTGTTCGACATTACAAATGCTTTCGAGTCCATCAGAAATGGAAAAGTTTCACATCTTCGAGGAAAATTTCCTGTCCTTTTTTTTCGGACAATTCCAGGGCAGCTCAAGAAAAGGCAATTAGTTCCAAGCGCAACGCATGTACTCCTACAACATACAACAAACCGTTTTGAAAAAGCGCTCCATGTGTTGAAATACTTTCCTTGCAAGAATAAAAAAAGCGAAGATTCCTCACCTAGCTTCCATCTGCTCAAGTCTCGATCGCAATTGTACAGCTTCTTGCCTTGCATGCTTCTCGTTGTTCTGGCTAACAGAAAGTTGTATCCTAGCATCAGCCTCAGCAGTCTTGAGCTGCATCACTTCAGCTTTCAGCCTTTCGGTTTCCAATGATGAAACACTGAAAAGATTTCCATGATATTGTAATCTTGGGAACAAAGATACCGATGCTAGATACGATATCGCATTCTTTGAAATTGCTATGGGTGAAGTGCGATCAGACAGTCGATGGTTTCCGGAATAAACCTAGCGCTAAACACACGGCTACGGATGTGATACACTTCATAAGACGGTATAGTACTGTACTAATTTTCCCCTTGACGGTAACAACCAGTTCCCAGTTCCACTGTAAGCTAAAAAAAGGTATTCCCACATTGGAAGGGTAAGAGGAAGTTGCTCTAAAGATGGTCGAAACAAGGTCACCTATATTGTAGTGCGCGTGAATCGAACATGCACCGCTCGTTTTCCAAGAGAAGCTCTACCAACTAAATTCATCACCGCTTCCTTTCTGATGGTGTACTTACCATGGCTTATCAGCGCTCGTACGACGACAGCTGACGTAATGAGCCGGTAAACCATTTTTAGCTTTATTTTCTTTTGTTCTTGAAGTTAAATTTTTATTGCAGGTGGCACCTCTGGGTGGGCGGCAACGTGGGTCGGGTCGAACGAAAGCAGCAGCAGCAATCGCCGCTTCGCATACTCAGAACACGACATCCTTAGCGAAGTCAAGTAGTGCAGGATCGGCCACTGGCGGGGCTGGAGAGAAACGGCGTGATCGAGAAGACGACGAAGAAAGTGAAGGTATGCATGCTATCCGGAATTTTTTTAAATTATGTTATTCGTTTTTTCATATCGTGTTTCGCTAGTCAACTTTGAAAAAGCTAAATTAATTTCCTAACAAGAGCTGATAAATGCTCCTTTTACGTGGCCAGTAAGAGCCGAGGTTCTTTCTTTCGGGAATTGCAGAAACATTTCCGTTAGTTTTTTGATGCTCATTTCTGTGGCTGGATCATGCATCCATTGTTGAGAGAACCCCTTGAGAGCAGCGTCGTACCTTTTTCAGCTAGCTTAGAAGTTGATATTTGTATTTGCAGGAGCTACGAGCTTTTAAAAGCTTTGTTTGAAATTTTTCACCGATTCATAAATTCGTTTTCACCATGTTTGCACCCTTTGGCCGATGTCAGACTTCGCGAATCCACGCCTAATCGACTGTCAGCGGATGACCTGATCAGCGGATCGAACGATGTACTGGCGACTCAGTAGTAGTGGGACCCAACTTTCAAAGGAGGTCCCACCATTTTCAAACAGTGTCGAGTCGCTGGTAGATGGTTCGATCCGCTGGCACATACATGATTCGATCCGCCTGTACACAGCTCTGTTCGCTGGTGGCAACGACGTATCAGCTTGGATCGCAAAGTCTGACAATTAGCCTTTCTTTCTTTCAGGTCTTCGATTTTCGAGTACGGCTAAGCCTATAGTTGGTTCGTGTCAACGAGATCTTGAAATGTACTAAGGTTTGCAGTTTCAAAGGCAGCAGGTCAAATTTTTCGAAAAGAATACGTAATTCTTGTTCCGTTGCCGTGAGCTGTTTTTCGACTACCCTCATGTGTAACGAATGATTGTTATTTTATGATTTACGAGAGATCCTCGCCGACTATATACGCGTGCATTACACCTATTCCACTCAGAAATTCAAAGATTGTATCTTACTTTTGTTGGAAAGTTGTCTATCTTTTTCAATCTTTTTTTTTTTGGAGAAATTTAATCATATGTTTTTTTTCGTCCTCTAATTCTTTCGAATATGTCTTGATGGTTTAGCGAGTTTGTGTTGGCGTGACTCTGACTCGATGACTTCATCGGGAGGCTTATCTGTTGTGCGTTTGGCATGGGAAGCGTTCGTGTGGTTGACAACAGTGGTGTGGCCATCTTCGGGAGACGACGTTCGCGACGATTCCAGTTATGGTGGTGATGACGATGACGATTACAGCATACCAGAAGAGAATGCAAAGAAGGTAGTAGTTCTCTCGCTTTCAAATTATTGCCTCATACGAATAGGGATTCCTAATTGGTGTTACGTCCCAAGGGATGATTCATGAGAGACGCTGTCGTCTGTAACAACCTATTATAATTAGATGAAGCGTTCAACGGTATTTCTGAGTCATCACATCCGCCCATGGGAGATCTAACACAAGG